CAAACGCTTTCAAAAATGGAGCTAACGCTTTGCTAACGGTTTGCCAAAACTTTTTAACGGTTTACTCTTAACGTTTAACGCTTTGGCAAAGCGTTATAACGCTTTGCTCTTATCGTTTAACGCTTTGGCAAAACGTTATAACGCTTTGCTCTTAACGTTTAACGCTTTGGCAAAACGTTATAACGGTTTACTCTTAACGTTTAACGCTTTGGCAAAACGTTATAACGCTTTGGTCTTAACGGCTAACGTTTTCGGGAAACCTTATAACGCTTTGCCCAAAACGTTTAACGCTTTGCCAAAGCGTTTTAACGTTTAAATAAACCGTTTAACGGCGATGATATCCCATAATTTCTGATATATTTTAGATATACTTGGAATATGATTCAAAATGATCATAATTTCTGCATATTGCTGTATATATATTAATATTGCAAGAATATATGAGATCTGTTGTATATTGTCTGTTATACATGTAGGTCCTACAGTTCTTTGATCAGGACTTTCAACCAACAAAATGCTGTTGTGGTTACAGTGTCGCGTTTAATGTAGCTGATGCCCTCAAGTATGTGCGTACTGCCAATGAGCCAGCTACAAATGGCATAAMATGCCAGGCCCTGAGAAGCTATGTTAAGAATAAGGYAATCGGATGTGTGGGCTCACTTGTGAGGTTCCGGGGTAATAAGAAACAAGTGCATGGGGTACACATCCAGCATGATTTTTTWAAAAAAKAAGATATAGAAGCCTTGAATGCTAGTAAGCTTATTGTACTTGTCTTACTAATAATATGCTAGTATGTATTGTTGTCTATAATATTTAAAATGAAAATTGTACTTAAAGACTTGTGAATGATCTATTCTTTTATTGCTACAATTGGTTCCATATGGTCATCAGTATGACCACACTTGTCAGGTCACTTGTCAATTCAAGTCTTAAGTACAWTTTTTTAATGAAATCCTCCTTGAACGAAGTTGAGCATGTTTGTAATAACACTTTCAATAATTTTTCGTTTTTAATTATTTATGYATTAAAGGAGGTTTACTGGAATTTGACCACACAATAATTGCAGTGACTTAAAAATTCAAACTGGTATTTGGAATTTGATAAGTGTCTTTTATTTCATCTGAATGTTCATTTAAAAAATCTGTACAATTTAATAGTAGGATAGGATCATTTTCAATCGAAGCGTCAGTAAAACGTCATTCTTGGATCGCGTCAAAGTCTAAGCAAACCGTTAAACCTAAACGTCAAAGCGTTAGCAAGACGTTAGACATCGATCTCAAAGCGTTAACAAATCGTTAGCTCTCGATCTCAAAGCGTTAACAAACCGTTAAGCCATGAACTTTAAAACGTTAGCCGTTTAGAGAAAAGCGTTATAACGTTTTGTCAAGCGTTTTTGTCAAGCTCCCCGATGGTACTGAATCAGATTTTCAGCTTAAAGAAGTATCGTACGGAGAAGTTGTCAAAGTGTTAAAATCACTAAGGACGGACACCTCCACTGGACCTGACATGATTCCAGTTAAATTTGCTAAAATGGTACACGAGATCATAGCAAGCCCTCTTACCTCCATCATTAATAACTGCATCAGGAAGTCATATTTCCCTAAGGCATGGAAGAAGGCAAGGATAAGTCCAATCCCAAAGATTGACTCCCCTGTATTGGATGAACATTTCAGGCCAATCTCAATACTTCCAGCT